ACACACACACACACACACACACACACACACACACACACACACACACATCCAAATCTGATTGATCTGAGAGCGAGGCAGATCATTGGTAACCTGTGGAGCAGCATATGCAACAAAATAATCTCAATATATTCTCCTTTGCTTCCTGATTACTTTTCTTTGGCACGCTAACTAGCTCTGAAAATACTTTCTCCAACTTTCTGAGGACGTGTTGTTAGAAAGCTAGTTACAAAACACAGACATGCTAAAAAGTGCAAGTTATCACCCCCCCCCACTCCTCCACTCCTTTTCTCTTTTGCCTGCAGTTGGTTGGGAGAAGAGCAATGCTTTTCTCACATCCATTGTTTGATCCATTTCACACCAGCCCACCTCTTCTTTATCTCCTCCTGTTTTCTCCTTCTTTCACTGGCAGCCAGCCTGAACACTGGCAGTAGTGGGACGGCTTTCGAGCCGTTTTGAATGAGAGGTTAAAATGCAAATGTAGTCCTCTTTCTGTTTTCCTTTCTATTCCTGTTCCAGATCTTATTATTCCCCCCCCTCGCTCTTCATCCTCCTCTTCTTCTGTACGAATTTGTTGAGGAATAGAGTAAATGAGTGCGAAAACAATTTTTTCCACAGTGAGTAAGTGCCAAAAACTGTATTTTCCCCAGATTCCCCTTCAGTGCTCTACCTGGATAAGAATCGATGTGGAATGAGAGCAGACAGGATTTACGCTTCCTGCGAACACTTTAATAGAAATCGACGGTTGAGAATTCTGTTGTCACACTGTAACTGGATAGAAAAAGCACATCATCTGCACCCCCAAAATGATTTTACCCTGTCAAAACCTATTATAGCTTCACACCTCCCTGTGACACGCACTTGTACATCCCCTCACACACTCATGTGCAAATGAGATGCACACACACAGACGTATACAAACGTGTCAAATGTTACATTTTGTGTATGTTTGTGACACATCTCACACAATCTGTTGTGAGCCTTGAACACAGATCGATTATCGCCACAGCTTGATCCATCACAACAAGAGGCATTGCTAATAGAGAACAGCGCCGGGGTGAGAAACAAATACACACACATGCTCACAAACAACACAACCCCTTTGCGATAGTTACATAATTAGACATACAGCACCTTGGCAATCAACAGCTCTGGTGTTGCCATGGGGACTATAGCTTTGACTATAAAAAGAAAGGATCTATACGTGGAGGCGGTTGAGGGCGGAGGTGCGGAGCGAGGCAGCGAGAGAAAGAAAGAGGAGAATGAACAAGTGTGAGAAAATTGGTGCGAGAGAAGCGAAGGTGTCGCTGAGGGGCCGAGCAGCTCTCTCAGTTTGTGTGCGTAGTGCACCTGCATGTGTGTGATTAGAAGCGTTCAAAGCACCGCTGTGTGCGTATGTACGGCTGCTCCTGTCTGCGCGTAAGCTTGCGAGGAGGAGGAAAAAAAAAAATGACAAGGACAAAATGTGATAGAGTTGGTTAGCAAGTGAGAGGAAGATAAAGGAGAAAGAGAAAGCTAACTAGAGAAAGTGTAGAGGACAATTTTCAGCCTCTCTCTCCCTCCCCCTTCTAAGCTTACTGCATTGCCTGGGCTTTGCAGCATATAGTGAAGATTAGGCCAGACGAGAAAGCCATAAATTCTACTTTTCTCTTTCCAGAGGTGAACATAAATCACAGCTGGTACTGGCATGCCATCACTGGGTTTTTGCTTTTCACTTATCTAATGAATAAAATAAAATAAAAAAGGAGGAGGATAAAAAAATACAAGTTCAAAAGCTGCCCTATTCTAAACGGCGTAGCCGGCTTTCACTTCCATCCCAGCACAACTTTTGTCCTCTTCTCCAGCCATCACTGAGGTATAGAGATGATGAGTTGGTTTCCCATAATTGGGAGTATTCATGAGCTGCATATCGCTGGACTGTGTGTGTGTGTGTGTGTAAATGTGTGAGTATGAGAAGAAGAGAGTGAGAGCTGACTTGAAAGGCCTGTGCATATGAAGGATACCTTACAGCATATGCAAATGTGAATATAGACACAAATAGCAGCACAGGCAAACACACCATGAATGCGCTAAGCGAGGAAATGCAACCACTCTTGTGTTCAAATACGCACAGAAATGTGCACATGCCCACCCACATGCTTTCTTGCGCACACGCACCTACACACACAGACACACACACACACACACACACACACACACACACACACACACGCACACACACACACTCTTGTTTCTGTCTCATAAGGTTAAGGGGTGAGGAGATGGTGTTGTAATGAGCTGTCACTCACAATGTATTGGAAAAAGGCAGGGAGAGGCACAGTGATGAAACACAAAAATCAAAATGTATATAGAAAGAAAAGAGAAAAACCGAGTCAGTGAAAAGTCACAGATTGAAAATATGCCTACTAATACTTAGTCGGCTGCATAATTAATATGATCAAGTAAAGTTAAGAAAACATGATTTTGTCCCATGAAGCTCTTCTGTCAAACATAAAATAGTAATTTTATTTAAGTGACCATATCAGCATAGGGAATACTGTTTGCCTGGTTAACAAGTAGAGTTTGTAATTTGTAAATCACTATTTTATGCTCGTTCAGCTGTCTGACAACAGACACAGAAAAATATGTAAAGGAGGATTACTCAACCGTTACTTTGGCATTGTTAAAATAAAGAAGAGGTGATTATTGAAAGCAGGATTGGGCTGAACAGAGATTTAAAGGAATAGTTCGACATTTTGCAACATCATACGGGGGCATTGTGAAGTCACCGCGAGGTTGACAGGCAACCAGCTGTGACCTTCTCTGTCCCCCTCCTTACCAGATGTTGGACAGTGTTTTTTTAATTGCTGACCGAAATAGAAGGAAATAGTTTTCCTATTAGGTGATTGAGTGTTGGAGAAAACCTTTACTACCTGAAAACGTTAGTCTGGATGCACAACATAAAAAAAGAAAAATGTAGCACATTCAAACTTAAAACAGAACTGCAATTAGTGGTTAGTTTGTTTTGGACGTGCGGCTTCAGGTACGGGATGACAAAATACAAACCAAGAAATCTGGTTTTAGGCTTATTCAAATCACAGATCAAATGTTACGAGGAAGCTTTTCACAACTCTGGAAAGTTATGACATCGACAATTATTTGATTTGATTTATTCTCGATGTTCACAGTAGGAACAGTAGAATGTCCTCATGCATGTTACAAAGTAATCTACCAGGATATGCACGCTTTCACATATTCAGTTGGCTGACACAGTGTGTTGCCGATGATGCTGCATTGCGTTGTTGTAAAAGTTGAACCATGGTTGAACTACTATTCCGGACGACTTTGTGTTTTCATGCACCGGCACCGCACTTTACTCTTTTAAGTAAATTCTGAAGTGAATGATAAGACTGGACATTTTGTCATGCACGGCTAATGTCGCTGTGAACATGGCCTCAGCGTGGACGTTGTCTGAGTGGAGGGAAAAAGACGAGAGGGACGGAAAGGGAGAGTGAAAAAGATGAGAGCGGTGCAAATAGAAACAAAGAGTGAGGGAGAGGGAAGCATCACAAGTCTGTACTGTCCAACTAAAACCCTACGAGGGTTTCTATGCAATACATAACCTCAATACTCTGCTCTCTCCAAACTCTGCTCTGCACTGAAATGACAGGAGGGTAGAAGATCTAGACTGATAGATAACTCTTCTCCCCTCCACACACACACACACACACACACACACACACACACACACACACACACACACACACACACACACTCCCCTTCTCTTGCCTGCATATTTCCATCACATAATCACTAATTCCACACTCCCTGGCTGATAAAATATAGAAAAGGCAGGAAGAGAGAATGCGATGAGTATTGGAAACAGAGCAGATCGAGGGAGGAGAGAGGAGTAAGAGTGGAGGAGGAGGAGAAAGAAGGAAGTGATACAGTCAAATCTGCCTGTTAGGCTCCGCCAAAGAAACAACAGGGAGTTTTTCAGTAAGACAGCTCTGGCTCCCAGCTAGAGCCCAGGTGGGCGATGTGAATGTTCTCTCACTCCCACACACTTAAGAGTCAAAAATATGCACATGCACGTGATCGAGTATACACACGCAGTATACACATTTGCACATGCGAGCGCTGATGTTTGCATGTACTGTAGCAGCCTGCATACGCTCACACACGCAGGAAGAATGCGCACAACACAATGTCAAACAAGAAAACACACTCAGGGCAGAAAGGAAGAATCTTTTGTCTTTGTCAAGCGTTCCAGAACGCCACGGCCAAAATGTCCATCTATCTCTCGTCTTTGTCTTTTATTGCTCTCATTCATTCTGAGATTCACCCTGAGGGCTTCTACTGTTCAGTGTCCTGTAATAATGCCAAAAGCTTGTTCAATCAGCTTTTCCACATACATGAGCCAAGAGAAGACTAAAAAGGAAGAAGGCTTGAATTGGTGACCATGAAAATGAATGTGTATCACTGAAAAATAAATTGGTTACAATCGGAAACATCCCTTTGCTTTATTTTCTCTTGCGGTTTCAATATCTCTCTTTGTCTTTTACTGTTTTGCTTTCTTCATATACATCGGTTTCATTTGTCAGCCCCCTCTGTTTCTTACCTCGTGCAAAACTGAGGGTTTGGCTGAGGATAAGAGGAAGAGAGTTGAGAAACCAAGTGTGTGAGAGAGAGAGAGAGAGAAAGAGAGAGAGAGAGAGAGCGAGAGAGAGAGAGGGAGAGAGAGAGAGAGAGAGAGTTTTAAGTAGCAGCAACCGAGCAGCACCAGGTTCGTTCCTGGGGGAGGTGAGAAAGAAGGGAGGAGAGGGGAATACGATTTCATTATTAATGGAGGAAAAGTTCCTTCAAATTGAACCTATAAAGTATCTCTGCTGCCTTTCTGTTTGAACTGAGGGAGACTGGGACAAGAAGAGGAGGGGAGAAGATCCGAATGAAGAAGTGGGGGAAGAAAATGGCAGGAGAACATTGTTAAGATTTTATATTTGTTGTG